ATTAAATTACTGTGAGTCCTCCGTGCAATGCAATTGACTTTACTAATAAGTTTAGGAACTACTCGCAATACCTTATCTCGATACGTTCTCGCAAAAAGCATAACTTAAATGTAAACCTTCAGCTTTTAGGCAAGATTAAGTATGATGAGATAAATTCATCATAGGAATACAATGTTTCATTACTATGCGACTTACCTATGTGTTTCACGAGAAACACAACAAGGTCCGTAGTGTCTACAAAAAAAGTAGTCGATAGAGGACATGTTGCATAATGAGCAAGTGTATGCGGCTGCGAAATGTGTACCTACAGTTATGAGCTTTAAAATGGATGCCAACTATTTTCAAATAGCGTTTTTTTCGTAGTTCATGTGCCACACAACCTATAATTCTCATACCAATAGGCAAACCATTATTGATTAAAACAACAGCATTTCTATCAAATTGTAAGTAACTGCCATCTTTTCGGTATTTGGTGGCTTTTTTTGTTTCCACTACAATAGCTTTAAGCACATTCTGAGTGCTGTGACCCATTCGTGCTCGCTTCAAAGACACTATCATAGTATCACCTATAATAGCTCTTTGTTTTTTTTAAAGGATGCAGGATTTTGATACACTGTACAACTTTTTGCACTGAACTATCAGACACCTGTAAATATGTTCCAACAATATTCACACTCTTCGAGCCTTTTTTTTTTTACTACGGTTTATTTTTCCTAGTCACCCTCTCTCCACGATTCTTGTCAGCAATAAGTAACAAACAAACGTTGAAAAAAAGCGAGCTCAAAGGATCCAAGGAGTAGAGGAATGACAAAGTTATCATACCAAAGATTCCCATAGTTGACAAGATGATCCGTTTGACTCGTAGGAAGAAAAGTCAATGGATTTGTACATCGAATAAGTTGCAAGTGTCAAACAAGAGTGAGATATGTTCTTATTAACGTCTTTGTACCAAAGATATTAACAAGCCATATGTCCTAAGGCAATATTAAAGACTTCTATGAGGAATTCGGGATAAGGAGTAACTACCATGCCATAAGATAAAATGTTGTGCGGAGTGCATGAACCTGCAACGGTGCCAAGCTTAAAGACCATCGTCGACTGAGAGATGATTAGCGGAGTGCCAAATTTTCACCCGATGGCCATTCAAACTAGATTTGCCACCAATTTATGATGTGCACACCGTATTAACTACCCCCTTCTCCCTCAAAAAAAAAACAAAATTGTAAAATTCCAAGATGGAAGTAAATTTCCATTCCAATTTCGTCAATGTTTCAATTTCAATTTTTTATAGAAATTTCAGAACTGTCAGGAAGATTTTTCCAATACTCGGATACATGAAATTTGTCGAACAACAATGTTACAAAAACAGATACAAGAAAATGAAAATGTAAAATTAAGTTCCTAAACCCTATATCCAGTTTTCCGCCTGTAAACCCAAGGGCTGACAAATGGGGATCCTTTTTAGCCACTCGTGCCGCCCCTAGGAGTGGGAAGGACGATCCAATTCAGTCAATATTCTGCAGAAGCACAAGGACTTGTATCAGTACACAGTCATATGTCCAACTCCAAAAGAATCAATAATTCACATAAGCAAGCTAGTTGCAAAAACATTTAAACATTTTTTATTCACATTAGCGAAGGATTGACAATTTACAAGTTATATTTCGCACAATCCACGCCTGCTGCAAATGAACTTGAAGATTGAAAAGTTTGCCCTATCATGCCATCCGATGAAATGAAGGATATGTTCATCCACCCGCCGCATGGGGAGATCATCAAATCACTTGAGCGGATGGACTTGTTGCTCATATTTTTGAAAAATGAGGGAGGTTGTAAAGGTCAACAGTAAAGGCAGATGATCCACCTGCGGATGGACAACAGGAGGTAATCATTGGGGACTGATAGAGCTATGAGATCTAGTGAAATGTGCTCAGATGAAATTCAATCATACATGTGTGTTATAGGTTTCCTGTTGAAACAAGACGTAAGTACCACTATGGAGAAGAGTACCAGCCCCCCGCTTGCCTGTATCCTTGTTTTTTATCTTAATCGCACTTCCTATAGCTCTGCCAGCGTGTGAAAGTCTTATCATTGTATCTCCCCAACACCCTTCCCTACACCTTCACAATTCTCTGAGGATCTCTCTCATCCTCACTGTAAGGCTTGTGACCCCCATGCAGTATACCCCCTAAGAGGGGAGATTAGCTTACCGCGTCTAGTCCTTTGGTTTCCTAACACTCCAAAATTGCTACACTGTCAAAGACCCTTATAAGACACTACCTACGGTACCCTACCATCCTCTCCTCAATTTCTCGCAGGTGCAACCTAAATCCTAGCTCACTGTCCACTAAGGAGACCGTCACCCTTCTCCCATCTTGGGATAACAGCAGTTGCAGTCATCAGGGCTGAGCAGGTGACCTAAAAGCAATTGCAGTCACCAGGGCTATAAGCAGGAACCCCGCTCAGCCCGAGTTGAAGAATATGCTTGAATGAGCCTTATCATACAGGTACCACCCTCTCTGCAGGCCCCATGGATAGACCCTTGGTGAGCCTCTGTATGGAACTAGCCATGCACACCTATGACAGATATGATGAGCATTGTCTAATGGTCCACGGTACCCAAAATCCAACCTATGACATCCCTTGAGCAACTCACGTCTACCCCTCCCCATACCTCAGTCATCAACTCCGCACTCCCAGTTACTTGTGGTTGGTACTACAGTTATTGGGATCATTGGCTGTCATATATCACCTGCATGTGCTTTAAACCACTAGTACATATCACCTGCATGTGCTTTAAACCACTAGTACATATCACCTGCATGTGCTTTAAACCACTACTAGTACACAGCCCCAACCTTCCAGTCCGAAACTTGTCGACACAAGAAACCGAGGCCGAAATGTCAAACGCTAGGTTTGTTGTTGATAAATTGTATCAGCGGTCGCATGTTCATTTCCTGCTTCCAGAATTCCAGGTGTCAGGCCCACGGGCCAGGTGCCCATGTACTGGTGCTTTGATCTCTATCATAAGTAGGTGCATGTCCAGATTTCAACCCCAAACCTAGGTGATCAACTAGATCCTCTCTTGGTTGCTGTATTGTTTCTCTCATTGCCCAGAGTAACTTCCATTTAGGCCATCAGTACTACACAGCTACCATCTTACCCCATACCTTCGTCATCAACTGGGCCCCATCTGGTCTATTTCTCATGGGAGGCACACAATCCCCCTACTATGAACCCCCTCATCAACCATCCCACCTGTGCCCCAGTTCCCGCAAACCGAGGCCCTAATGTAACCAACTATATGATGATCCAATCCACTGGGCCTACCCACCAGTCAGTTTCCTTTCTCTCCCATCCCTACCTACTCCTGAACTATTAGTATAGGGGCGGTCCAAATCGAACCCTGGACTCTTCCGTGCAACATCTACCTCCAACGCACTAAGCTACTACGTCTGCTGATCCATGTATATATGTTGTACCAGGCTGGAAGACAAGCACACGCAGTGCCAACCAAGCACCATCAGACATGCACAGTGGAGGTTAACGGCCGACAAAATCCAGCCCACAACCTCTGCGTTGCAATGCCCATTGGTAACGAGATAGGAAGTAGATATTCCCCTCCCTCCAACAGTCACCAGAATGGATCTCCTCTGGCGAGTACTCACCACAGAACTTCTCTCACCAAAAGGTGGGTGGCGCACCAACATTTACTCGCCACTGCACTTGTCTCGTGATAAGGTGGTCGTTGCTGCTAGAAGACAAGGGTGGGGCCAACTTGGACAGGCCTTGATGGTGAGGTTACTCACCGCATCTGGTGGGCAGCTGAGAGGAGGCATCACAACACCACTGTTGCAGGCGGGGAAAAAGGGAACTGTGGTGACTATTCACCACAGTCGAGTCACCAACAAAGAAAAGCACACCTCTAACCTTTCAAGTGTAGGATGTTCCTGATGGTTTTATATATGCTAAGTGCAATAAGTTCATGCTCTGTACCGGTCAGACGGTTCTAGTTCTGATAACATTGCGGAATCTGAGTAGGGTTAGGCACGGAAGCAGGTGTTGTGGAAGGTTCGCCAAATTTGGGGAGAGGGGCGAGTGGAGTGCCCCAGGACGACAGTCTGGCAGCTGTCAAAGCGCGCTGTTGGGGACGCCACACTTGTGAACTCGTGCTTTTTCGAGGCGATTTTCGACTGTGTACTTTGTCATATGCTGACTCCCTCTCATCTATCTGACTGCATGAGTATACGACTTTCACATATTTGCTTCACACTTGCAAGCGCCCCTCGTGCGGGCGGTCCCCTCCGTGCGGCGCACGACGTGTGCGGGTAACGACCCGTCACCCGCCTCAGAAGAAAAAAAAAGAAGGCCGGGGTCGAAACGGTGCGTTTGAGGCCCCCCACCAAAATTATAAGCGGGATGAAAACAAAATTTACAGGGGTGCTGCCTCACTTTCCTCCTCCTCCCCTTCCTCATCCTCCATCTCCTCCTCCCTTCTCCTTTTCGTCTCCTCCGACTCGTACTCCTCCAGTTCATCCTCCTCCTCCTGCCCTTCCTCATCCTCGTCGTCTCCTCCTCCTCGTACTTCCTCGTCTTCAATGCCTCATCGTCTCCTGCCCTTCCTCGTGTCCTCCCCTTCCTCACCGTCCATGTCTCCTCCTCCCACTCGTGTGACATAATTCGATTACTTGACTTTATTTCATGTTTCTTTCTATCTTCAGCCATCAACATACTTTTACTGGGTTTCAGTTTCGCTGGACCTTCTGCGTCTTTGGATGGATGTTTCTGTGACATTGGTTGCTCTGGCATTCTGTTCAATTGCTCTCTTCTGCATCATTCATCCATTTTCATTCCTTCATCTCGCACTCCCTCCCCCCCGTCTCTCTCTTCAAAAAACGTGCAGCCGTGAACAATGTGAGAACAGGCATTTCCCATTCTCAAATGCATGGAGAGCACTCTTCAAAACATGTGCAATTTGCAGTTGTGCAACAAGGAAGGCCCTAGTGGATGCGCTTTTGTTCATCGACCTCCTCCCAACTTCTTCAATCCAAGCCAAGCGATTGTGATCAATCTTTTTTTTCCGAATAAGGAAAACATATAGACGATTTTTGCGCGCTAAAATTTGATAGCCTACATGGACGCTTCCCAGGTACGACGCATTCATAATCGGCATCAATTTCTTTTTGCTGACCCCAAAAGAATCAACAATTCCAAGTCCACCTAGGCAGAGTAGTTGCCAACCCCCTTGCTACTTACACTTTCACCTTTTACAGAAGAAGGCGATAACTGCAATGACCGGCTGTCAGATCACTTGCGCAGACTCTCTAAGAGGCTGATGAAACAGCTTCTTTCTCGACTGCTAAAAATAGAATTAGCACTTCTGGGCATGGCATAATCAATGAAGACTGACGTGTGCCCATAACGTGATTTGCAATGGGGCTCTCACACAAAGATCATCCGACAGCATCCACAGAGTCACACAGGCAAAACTAGGGCACTAGGGAGACCCAAAAAGCAACTCTGAATTAAATTAATTAACACTCGACGAAAACGAATAGTGAGACAAAAGCTCAACCTCACCATAAAGTCGAAGACCCCTTTGCCTCAAACAAATGTTACGCACTCTCGCAGCCTGTCATTGCTAAGGGGTTCGTTGCACTTCAAGGCTTCGCTGTGTTTCCAGGGTTTCCTTTCCCCATGAAATGGATCGATATGATGCTCCTGCATATACAACTCTCTTCCCAAGCTCCTCCTCAATTCGAAGAAGCTGACGGACACAAGTGCAATACCACAACAACAAGCATTCAAAGCACTGTTACAACATTGACATCAGCTGGAAGCCTGGAAGGCTGACCTTCAGCAACAAGTCATTCCGAAACGAAGAGCACATCAGTTATTGTACCCTTCTTTTTTTTTTCTTTTTTTTTTATAGAGGGAAGTCTTGAGATATATCCACAGGTGACTGGACCCAGGTGATTCGAGATTATTATGGAATAATGGAAGTCCTTGTGGATTTTATGTCATGATTACAGAGCTTCTGTTATGACAGGTATGTTGAGAGTATGTGGAAGCTCTTGAAGTATCGTGAAATTGAGGGTCTCAACCCTGATAGGCATTGTAATCGAGCCATGAATGTCAGTTGTTAAAGAATCACAAAATGACACATCCTGGGGCCCCTCGTCATAAATCGCACAGCCTGGTAGCGTTAATCAGTGATAATCACAAAAACTGCACAGCCCAGGGGTGTTTATCCTCAACCTCCTCATCGTGCTCCTCTTCGTCTCTCTCATCTTCAGGCAAAGACAACGGCAACAGTGTTGTTGTTTATTTTAAGTTTATTAATTCATTGCCGATGTTGCCATTGCCTTAACGATGAGCACAAACTTCTCCCCCTCTCCTCGTTTTTCTTCCTCCTCCTCCCCTTCCTCCTTCCTCCTATTCCTCTGCCTCCCTCTCCTCCTCCTCGTCATCGTGCTCCTCTTCCTCTCTCTCATCTTCAGGCAAAGACGTTGTTGTTTATTTTAAGTTTATTTATTCATCGCCGATGTTGCCATCGCCTTAACAATGAGCACAAACTTCTCCTCCTCTCCTCGTTTTTCTTCCTCCTCCTCCCCTTCCTCTTTCCTCCTATTCCTCTGCCTCCCCCTCCTGTCTGCACCTCCCCAGGCCACCTCCTCTCCAGGCCCAACAAACCTTCTCTCCCCCTCCACCGAACCTCTGTCATGTGTGCTGCACGAGGATGCTGATGATGTGTGCTGTGTGATGATAAAGAGTCCTGCATGATGCCTGTGATGATGGTGTGTCCTGCATGATGCTGAGGATGACAATGATGATGTGTGCTGCATGATAATGGTGTTTGATCCATGATGACAATGTGTGCTGCATGATTATAATGTGTGCTGCATTATGTAGGCTGCAGAATGTGTGCTCCATGATTATGATGATGCGTGCTGCATGATGGTAATGACAATGATGATGATGATCAGTGCTGCCTCTACTTTTTATTTTTCCCCAGCCTCTGCAGCTTCTGTTCCTGCTGCTGCTACTGCTTTGTTTTTTTTTATAAAACTAAGCTGTATTCTTCACTCAATATACCTCACACTACCTACCTAAACTCTAGACCACACGACCTCTTATGTACCGGTAACATCCCAAGGAAACTACGAGTTATGGGCTAGATGAATTTGGATCACTTGCCTATCTAAGCCTATCTTATCCCCTCAGGGTTGTTCCTAACCCTTAGCGACGGATGGAAGGGACCACAATTATCCCTCCCGACCCACTAGGGAGGGCAAGCTGACTATCTTAGCTGGTGAACTGCAGCGTGCCGCAGGAGGCCATAAGGCTCTATTGGAAGGAATGGGGAACTGAACCCACAACCTCCGGAATGAAGCTTTTCTGCTCTACAAACTGAGATAGGACCCTGGCCCTGCATTTTCTTTTTTCATTTTCAAATGTCCCCGTTTTTTTACTGGGGATCCCTGGCAGTAGGACAATACTGTCCACGTGTTAGAAGATGTATGTGCCCCCAGTGGTCAGAGGCTAACAGGGATCCGTTGAAATTGGAACGATACAGAGAATGTTAACATGGCCCCTGCGCAAGGATGACACACATAAATCAAGAAATGGTCCGGAAAAAAAAACAAAAAAAACAAAAAAAAACACTGTTAACAGGGATATTCAGTTCACAGTTCGAGTAACCGTCGTAATACTTGTGGGCGACGGGGTGGAGGTCATATTTCAAGCGAGGATGCACTTGCTGCTATAGTTTTGGGTAGTTGTCAGGGGCGGTGCAGTACTGGAATGCCTTGACATAAACTCTCCGGATTATGTGAATTGATTGTCTGTGTGAAGTGGGGCTTCATTGCTCAGGAGGACAATGTGGTGGGTGATTTTCGAAGGGGTGCAGGGGACGGGTTTCTTTGATGTTGGCCCGTTGTTTGAAGCAGCAGTATGTGATGCTGTCCCAGTGCCAGAGCTTTGCACATGGTTGCGTTATGGAATGAAGCAGTTATGTTCTGTAAATCACATCTCAAATGGGGTAACTGCGTTTGTTGGGTACCTCCTTTCCCACTGAGCACAACACACCTTGATCATCAATGTGTTAAATGATTTTGCATTCAATAGGATCAGGTGAGACACCTGAACAAGATGCACCATAATCATGAATGTACACAAGCAATCTGCCCTGACCAGGCTAAGTTGCGATGAGGGTGCATTGTCTTTGGCGGAATATGGTAGGGTTTTCAGCTGTGCTACAGAGTGCCTGGACCACGGACACTTGGCCCAGATGTCCGGGGACCCCAGTTGTCCTGCAAGGTCCGAATCGGCCGCGGCCTCGGCCGATGGCCGAATCGGCTCGGTTCGGCCTAGGCCGACCAGCCGAGTAGCGTGCAGGATTTTTTTTTTTTTTAACGCATGAAAAAAAAATATATATATATATATATTGTCACATTGTGAATCAGAGCACAAAAAAGGGAAAAGAAAAAAGGAAAAGGAAAAAAGGGGAAGGGGAAGGAGG